CCCGCAGCCTCGGCGGGTGGCACCCGCGCGCTTTGCGATCGGTTGGCGAGCGACCGCGGGGGCCGGCGGGTCTTCTGTGATGTAAATATAACGCAACGGCTCGTTTCTGGTGTGTGTCCATGGCGGTCTGGACCTCAACTGATCGTTAACCACCCGTCTTGCAATCTTGCGATCATCGCCCGCCACGGTTGCGGGCGATGATCGCAACCGCGGCGGTTGTGTAACCGCGCAAATAACCGGTCTCGTGAGTTTGGAAATAAAACCGCAGTTCCGCTACCGCGGCGGGCACGGTTCAAAATCGCTCCGTGAGTTCTTAGCCTAACCCTTTTGTTAGATTACTGGCAATAAGCAAAAAATAGGATTTGCTATTAAAAACCATAAGGTGTATTATTTATCTATAAAATAAAACAAAAGAATAGCTATCAATAATAATGATTTATTTATTAAGAAAAATAAATAAAATAAAATTACGTAATAATTCATTTTTCTATTTTTATTTTACAGTGTATTTTATAATGTTTGTGTATATGGATTGTACGTTTACATGCATTACTTTTACATTTTTTTAATAATAATTGTCAGGTCTGGAGAGGCTAAAAACTACGTAATAATTCATATTTTTATTTTTATTTTACAGTGTATTAATTATGTGTGTGTACGTGGAATGTACTTTTTTGGCCATGTCCTTTAGGAAAGAAACACATACAAACATAACTCCACGCTTTTTCAATTACATCACAATATATCAAACTATAACCAAAGGACGATAATTAACAGAGATTATATATTATGTCACCGACCATCAGGAGACCATTACAATACAACGAGCGAGGTCATAACACCCGATAAGTACTCCGTGTATCAGCTTAGTGCAATAGCGTGTAACATGATTGCATACAGCATATACCTGTATCTAGGTACGACTAAACTGAAGGTACATATTGTTAGACACACACAGTAACAGCAAACAACTAGGTTAGTGACGTGGGATATTGATGAACGCTGTTTCAACACGTGTGTGGTCAAAACATTACGTCATTAGCAAAGAGTGTTTTAAGTGTGGGAGAGCCATGCTTCGGCACGAATGAGTCGCCTCGACCGGAGTGATACCACGGCCTCACAGAAAATCGGCGTGAAAAAGCCACAGTGTTGTGTTTCGCCGTGTGAGCGAGGTTACCGGAGGCCCAATCCTTCCCCTTCCCAATCCCTCCCCAGTTCCTAAATCTCCAAATCCCTAAAAGGTCGGCAACACACTCGTAACTCCTCCGTTGCGGGTGTCCATGGGCGGCGCTGATTGCTTACCATCAGGTAATCCATCTGCCCGTTTGCCGACCTATTACATAAAAAAAAGAGACTCCCATTTTTCAACAGATTTCGTTATGATGAAGAGCGGCAAAAATTAAATGATTCACTTGATGGTAAGCATGCGATGCCGTCCAAGGACACCCCCAATACCAAGAGTTAAAGCGACGATGCGAGTCTTTCAAGGTATTTGAGTTAGACATAATAATATGATGATTGGGGATTTGGACATGGGTGTTATTGGTTATATGGCATCCTGAATCACGCGGCGATACACTTTACATGGATTCGGTTTGTCTCTACGGCCGTGGTAACATCACTCCGGTCGTGCCAGACCGTTCGTAGAGAAGCTCTTCTAAGTTTAACGTCATGTACAGTTATAAGTCCCACTTAACAGTGGTCTACACACCACACAGCAAACAACAAGGTACCACAATTTTAAACTGAAAAATTTAGAATCCATACTTTTTTCAAGCAATCCCAGACCATTAATGATTGTAAAAAAAACAAATAAACACAAAATAGAAACTGCTTTTCTACCTTGTAAACGGAGACTCGTAGCATTATTACGAAACGCTACACTTGGCATTCCTACGGGGCTACGGAGCGTAGTACGCGCGCAGCGCCTACTTTACGCCGCGCGCGTACTACGCTCCGCTACGATCACATAAAATTCAAAACACTTTTTTTTACCAACCATGTAATTTAAATACCTGTTCACAGGTGAAATAATAATTATAAAAATAAAAACTGTCCAATGTAATATAACAAACAGTGCACAACAGCTGATCAATTGATTAATGTACGCCACAGATGTTCACGGCCAAACACTTTGCTAATTAGTTTTTAATGGGAGAAGTTTCGTTCGAGTTTTGTGCTCAAGTACTCATGTTTGAAGTTCTCATCATATGCGTGTAGTACTTGTAGAACAATGCATAGTAGTTGTAATGAAAAATGGGGTAAGAAAACTTTTCGAATTCTGTAGGACAAAAAGTTATTTAGGTGATGGTAGTTATCTAACAGAGTTCGTTGTTATTTCCCGTAATTTATGTTTTTTGGAAAAATAATGTAGAAGAGCCATCCTTACTATGATCAACACAATACTAAATTACAAATAATCAACAGTTAACTTTTGTTTCAGCGTGTAACAGAGGTTATCGGAAGCCCGATTCTCCCCCCTCCCCTCATCCTTAATCCCTAAATCCCCTAACCTTAAATCTGTAATAACCCACCCACATAATGTTGGCAACGCATTTGTAGTGACTCCTTGTTCATTGGCGGCGCCGATAAATTTAACGAATTCCATAAAAAAACATTCAGAAAATATAATAAACAAGTTAATAAAACACATAAATCGTCATCTGAACAGTAAATTTCTATTCGATTTATAAAAAATCTAAATACTTCACTATATTATTCTTGTAATTAACATTATAAGGAGCATGTTATTCCTCACATTTCCTACAGAACGAAGTTTCTATTATCTACAATCTGTAGGCTTGTAATGATTGTGTTGGGTTTTCCTTCTAAAACACCTTACTAGAACAAAGTATCTCATATACCAAGAAAAACTCCACAAACATTCCCGTAAGAGTAAATTGGAGTACGTTATCCCTAATTTACTCCCTCAGCTATTTGCCCTCCAGCTTTAAAGGATGACTGGCACTTGAGTTTTTTCCTCATACACATTACGCCAACATACGACTACGCCACGATACGACGCCATACGCATACGCCATTCTGCACATACGCCAGACATTTCACTACGTACGTAGGTACCTCATTCCTTTTCTGCCAGTTGTAAAAGATAATGGCAGGGTAATAAAGTATTCTGAGTGTACTTTTGTGAGCTATTTCTTATTAAAACAAATGAAAGTGATTGTTTTTTTGTTCATTTTATGACTTTTATTTTAAAAGTGTGATTTTTCATTTAAAATTTATTTTGTCTGCTGATTTTCTAAGAAATTGGCCAGAAAAAAGGACTGAATTTAACAAAGTACTTTCGAGAAATCGTCTTCTTAACTTTTGGTGTTTCTAATGTGCATTCAGCTGTGGTACTCTAGACTATGACCGTAACAAAATCTCTACCGACCCTTCTATAGATGTACAATCATTAAGACATAGCTTCAAAAGAAAATAAACCCAACGACTTAAATTGCAAATACTCCAATAATAATACCTACTCGTACTAACAAAAGTGATTCAATTAAAGTTCTAAATCCAAAATCAATCCCGACCATCAAATTTGACAGTTACCGGAGTTGGGACCAGACCTTATTTTGGATCAAATTAATTTCCACTGAAAACGTTTTGTAGGGATCAAGTTGCTTCGGGGAATGAGTCGGGGTCTATACTGGCTGACGTTATATTTTCTTTCACCTTAATTGCTGATAAAGATACCGCTGTAAGGGATATAATCATCATATTTGTGTTTGGTAGATTGTTAGGATGGTGAGTTTGAGGGTTAATTTTCTCATTGCAGTACCTGATTTTTTTTTTAATTCTGATCTATAAATTCTTAAAGTTATCATAAAAATAATAAGAAATTTTGATGATTTAGGGAAGGTTTCGGAGATTTAGGGATTGGGGTGGGAAAGAAGGATTGGTCCTAAATCGGCAGAATTATTAACTTTGAATTGAGGACAATGGCATCATCAATTTTTGCTAATTTATTTTAAAACATCACCCTCATATAAAAGGAACCTAAAACGTCATAATTATGTACAGTAGATCTAACAACCGGTTGACCAACAAAACGTTCTTACTTATCTACCTGTTCTCACTTTACATATGCGAAATAGATCAAGAGTTTCATCTAAATGTTTCAACGTATCGCAATCAGTTGTACTCGTTATCAGATTTGCGGTTGGCCAAACTCCAATGCTGCAGACAGCTTGTGCCTGACGGCGCACGAGAATCCGTTTTAAATTCCTGACATACTGCCTCCTAGTTGGGGCAACTGACTGTGGAAAGAAATGTTTTCCTTGACCTGTTTAAAATTAGAACTTGTTAATAAGTACAAATTGGTACTGGCCTGGTTTCCAACCCTTATGCATGAGAAGCGGGCGCGTTAACTTTTCAGTCACAACGACATTATGAAAAATTGTAAGAACACGCTAATAATTAAATAATATAATTCTCAATTTATATGCATTTTTTATGTAATACGAGTAGGTCGGCAAACGAGCAGACGGATTACCTGATGGTAAGCAATCAGCGCCGCCCATGGACACCCATAACGGAGGAGTTACGAGTGCGTTGCCGGCCTTTTAGGAATTAGGGATTTGGAGATTTAGGAACTGGGGAGGGATCGGGAAGGGGAAGGATTGGGCCTCCGGTAACCTCAATCACAAGGCGAAACACAACACTGTGGTTGCTTCACGGCGGTTTTCTGTGAGGCCGTGGTATCACTCCGGTCGAGCCGACCCATTCGTGCCGAAGCATGGCTTTCCCACACTTATCAACAAGAACAATGAAAACTCCACAAAACTTACTATGATCAATTGGTTTAAGTAACCAACTAATTTCCTTCTTTTAAAATGTTTCTATAGTACGTAATTATAATACAATTGTTGTCGGTAAATTACCGTTCATGTTGTGACACAAAACTGTGGAGCATTTTATTTTATTATAACTAGCTTTTAGATACAAGTGTAAATGTAACAGCTACAAGTTGTCAAAAATAAATAAATAAGACTTTCGCTTTTGTATTTTTTCATACGGACTCTTTAATATAAAAAGACATACCTTCAGTAAACCACCTAAATCGATAGACCAAATTTACTATTAAGTACATTTTTACTAAATAATTACTATTCAGTCATGAGCTCGATATTTGTCATACAATTGTCTCCAATACTGCACAGTGTCCGTATATGGAGGATTATGGACAATGGAAACCTGTCTATTAATGTCCAGCCTTGTAGGTAATTCCTGGGATGTAGGAGGCCAGTTGAACTCACTGCCTTCTGGAGTTGGTGTCCTGGAAACATAGTATATAAAACATCATTTCATCGTCATCATTATCTTCAAGTCAGTCAGACACAAGACGTTACCTTTGAACTTAAAGCTAAAAACTTAATTCATTTGGATCTTTGTACTTTTACAATCAAAGCTTTTCATTGCTGTTATAAATACCGAGTACAAATCCACACTCAGTTCTATTTCTGACAATTTTCAAAAAACCAATAATACTTTATCCAAGATTGAGTCGTAATTGAAACCTCTGCTCAGCAGTCACAGGCCAATGACACAGTGAAATAGCAAGGAACAAATTAAATACAGGAATGACTGTAAAATACTCACCCGTATTTGGCGAAATTTGTCCACAAAGTGGTCATAGTTCTGATCATTTCGTTCTCAAACATGATTGGTATAGGAAACAAACTAAAAAGATAAAACAGCTCATCAGCATGGGTAGCCCCTGGAGCGCTCCAGAATGTAAGCCCAGCTATGAACTTTGGCATATTCCTCCTCCCACTGTACTGAAATTGATATTTATAAACAGGCTCATCACTAGTCTTCAATATAAGATCAGTCTCAATATATTCTGGCAAATTAAAATATGGTTCCCCATGATATCTAGAAAATTGCACAATGTTCTTCCACGAAATTTCCTCATCACCCACGTATATCTTCTTCAAATTATTCGCAACTTCTTTCTTTTCCTTCTCTGTTGGGAATTTGAGGTCAAACACTTCTATTGATCTTTCAAAATTTAGATTCTTCAATGTTTCATGGTTGTCTAAGCCTGCAAAATAATATCCTTCCTCACTATTTGAGCCTATAATGAGAGGGACTTTGTTATAATTTCCTTTGGTTAGTATATTAAAAGGTGTATCTGTTATGAACGGTTCAACGCCATCTATTGGCTGCTCAGTGCACGGTACAAATGGAAGATGAGCAAATCTCAGTCTTCCTTGTACTCGGGGTATCTCCGTAGCAACTAATTCATTCAATGTCTTATTCATGAAAGCTTCGTACAGTTGTTGAGGATCGTTAATGGTCAGACCCATAGCTTTTGCTAAAGCAACAGCTTGATTTAATGGATCCCGTTGCCTTGCAAACGCTGTCAGAGAGGACCCGCTTTGAGCAATAGCTCTTTTAAACAGTCCTTTAGACATTGGCGAAAGCAAATGATAGGACACCGAAGCACCTCCAGCACTCTCACCAAAGATGGTAACGTTATCAGGATCTCCACCAAAGGCTCGAATGTTTTTTTGAACCCACTTAAGCGCGGCAACTTGGTCTTTAAGCCCTGCGTTGCCAGGTGCATCCTTGGTCCCTAAGCAAAGAAATCCATGGACGTTCAATCTATAGTTAATAGTGACGAGGACGACTCCTTTCCTAACTAAGAAGTCAGGTCCGTAGAGCAGAGGGGCTCCAGATCCCTCTCTGAATCCACCTCCATGGATGAACACCATGACCGGCAGCGGTGCTCCATCCCATGCATGGTTTGGACTATAAACGTTCAGGGTAAGGCAGTCTTCAATCCCGAGTACTGAGGACAGGAACTTGAAGTTTGTCTGTGGACATCTTATGTGTTCTCTGGTAGCTTCGAACACTCCATCCCATTTTGGCGCAGGTCCAGGAGCCTGGAACAGTAAATTATAAATGATGATGATCTAATGTTTGTGTCATCAATGTTTTCAATTATTTATTTCGCACTATTCGCTGATGAAGTCAACGTTAATTTTAAAAATCTTTAGAGATGATGAGTGTAGAAACTATGATTATAATATGATATTTATCATTTTTTAATTCGTGATATTCGATAGCCACGCCGACACGAAAGGTCTGACTCGGCCAGATTGCAGTTACAAAAATCAATGTTAAACATTGCTTGCGTCAGGATTTATCTTGTGCATAGTGTTTTCAAAGAACCAGTGCTTCCATCAACTACACCTGACCCGCATTCCAGGGTCCCCAAATTTACTAACATCCCTCAAAAGGGCAGCAATACACTTAACTCTTTTGGTGTTGCGAATATACATTCAGATTATCAGACTGTTCGTTTTTCGCCATTTAGAATTAAGAAGGTGATGCAAATAAATTTTAGTATCTTACCTTAAATCTGTACTTATATTCGGAGCTCGCATAGGGAATACCAGTGTACCGTTGATAGGAATTGTCTACTGAATACTGTCCTCTAATTAGCGATCCATCGTGCAAACTTCTTACTGGAGTCGGTTGGCGGACGAACCTCGCAGCCCATAACGACCACAACACCAGCCACTTGTACCTCACAAACATCACTTTTTGGGAAAACTATACCTTACTTCTAATGTTATACGGTTTGTTTTGAATTACCCACTTTCTTTTTGCTTAAGTTTTTATTAATTTCAATTAAAAAATAAATAATTAAAAATGTGTGTGTTATTTGCTCTAACACGCCTCAATAACAATTATGCATTAGATAAAAATGACTAATATATTATTGTACCTTGAACAGAAAAAATACCTTATCAAATGTTTAATTGTTTGAAATAATCAAGCGATTATTGAAAATACCCAAATATTTCTTATCTATATAAATAAAAATGTATCAAAGATAATGTATATGCACGCGCAACTCGCAACTTTGGGACTCAATGCAGCAAATTTTACAATTCTTTTTTAATAGCTTACCATTATATTTGATTGACGAGGTGACTAGACTAGTTTCAAGCCACGACGGAAGCTTGCATTCATCAACAGCATATTATTGATCTATGAGGTGTTCGATATTGTTATAAAAGGTTTGTATGAAAGAGAAATTTAACTCCACCAGCAGGTAAAACTAGAGGAGCAGACCTTTAGTTTTCATTTTAGTCATATTTTTAATTGATTTATAATAAATATGATACAAGCCGAAAGAGTCTACATCTCTTAAGTCCTGTTTTCAAAATCTTTGGATAACCGCTTTGTCTATACTTCTATACTAATATTATAAAGTTGTAAAATTTGTAAGTTTGTATGTAGGGTGTAATATTTGGAACCGCTGGTCGGATTGCCAAAATTCTTTCACTAATGAGGTACAACGTTTCTGTGTCCTATAGGCTATAAAACATCACGCTACGATCAAATGGTGAAACCGCGTGAGGGTAGCTAGTATCAAATAAATGACGTAATTTCAAGTTATGTACATGGACCACATGCCTATAATTTTATAGGCAAATTGTTTTAAGAAAGTAGTGAAAAAAGTGCTAACACTTAGACTAGATACTAGTGTATAGACTAGATACACTAATGAATAAAGTTAGGCCCCAAACATCGCCCAAGAGCTGAGCAAATAGGTACATGTAAAAAGTTTAAAGTCATCATTACTCATTATGAGATTAACAACGACTTATCCTAATTATATATTATGTTATATTACGTGTCGACGTAATCTTATCAAATTCAATGACGAATGTGATAAAAATTACGAATTAATTGAGATTTTTTCCATATACCTAAACTAGCTACTCTCGCACTGTTTCACCCGCTGCTCGGCTCCATTTGATCGTAGCGTGATGTTTTATAGCATATAGCACTCAGGAACATTGTAGCTATCTATTAATGAAAGAATTTTGACAATCCGACCAGCGCTTCCAAAGATTACCCCCTACATACAAACTTACAAACTTACAAATTTTACCTTTTTATAATATTAGTATAGCCTATGGCACTCAGAAATATTGTAGCTATCTATCAGTGAAAGAATTTTGGCAATCCGACCAGCTGTTCCAAAGATTACTCCCCTACATACAAACTTACAAATTTTACCTCTTTATAATATTAGTATAGAGTATAGATAAACATGTCCATACACTAGAATTTGTACCTGAGTTTTAAGGTGCGCTTGCAAACATACCTACACATCACATTCGGACCCGGAACAATAACTCTCTGATTACAAAAATAGTTTTTCCATGGGGCAATCGACCCCGCGACACATTGCTCAGCAGTGGGTTGTCCAGCCATCATTGTGCCAACCTTTATCGTGGTGACAACCACACTTTCAGATTTTCAGTTGACATTTTGGTTGCAGTTTTAAGTACTTAGAGTCGGTACATTCATTTCTAAACTATTTTCCTTCAAATAAATGGCCAAAATCTTGATCAAAATTTTGTTATGGACATAAACGCAGACTAAGCATACCTACATGTTTATAGGTGCTATTTCTACTAGGTATACGTAGGCAAACGAGCAGTATGTATGCCTCCTTTTTTAGGACTTCTTCAGCCCTGGTTTGAGCTCAATTTCACACTCTTACTGACTTAAAACCCTCCCGTTAAATATCAGCTCTATTGGGTCCAATCTGTAGTTTTCTAATAGGCCTTTTGAAGCGAGCGCGAAACGCGACGTATACGGCACGTCGCGTTTCGCTCGGGCCTATGGACACCCTTACAACTTTTGAAAGCAAACAAACTAAACTAAACAAACAATAAACACACTCTAATTGTACATGTTCTTGAATTTCAGAAGTGCCTTTGAAAATAAATGCTTGAATTTGAATAATGAATTTTAACTTCCATAGTTATTCACAAAATTTCTAAACAGTGTGTCAGAAGCCTTAAAACGAAATAATTCTGTAGCGGCTAGTTCAATTCAGAACTTTAGGTGCTGCTAGATTTTAAAAGTATATTAAGGCTTTGTATTTGGTCAACAATAGAGGTCGCCACTCGCCAGAGTGAATTATAGTTTTGTCAGCTAATTGGCCATTGGTTGAAGTCTAGAATTAATGGAGAGCTCTCTGACTTGACAGTTTTAACGTTGGCTTACAAATTATTTGTTCTCGGTTTTTTTGTTTTGTGTATGTTTTTTTAATTAAATTTTATTTTTTATACTACGTATAGTTCTGTCTTCTAATAGTAGTGTCCTATGATTATTATAAAGACGAAGGTTTACAAGTATTCATAGATGTAGGCTACCATGGACGGATCGTGACTTTGTGGACCTGGACTGAAATAATCTTAAGACTAATTAGTCAATAAGTGTTATTTATGAAGTATTTTATGATACAATTTCAACTCGTTGCGATCACAAATAATTCAAGAAAAAACAGGATAATAATTGCAGTTTCTCTATTTTATTGATTTCGTTTTGTGGCACTTTTCGGGAATTACTTTCTCATCCTTATTATCGATTAAATGTTTTTAAAATGTATATAATGTACATAGGTATCGCATATTGATTTTAAACGGTACCTAGGTAGGCCTTGGATTACAGCCCAAAAAGGACTTAGGAAAATCCGCCCCTGTTTGTTAGTTACTCTTTCCCGTAAATACTACTGAGCGGATCCGAATAAAATTTGGCGTAGAGATATACGAGTATTACAGTCTGGAATAACCAAACTACTTTTACTCTTTACTTATAGAGATTAGAGGTTAAGGGATTTAGAGATTCGGGAGCAATAGCGAGAATTTCCGTCATTGATTGGGCCTCCGGTAACCGCACTCACACGGCGAAACACAACGCTGTATTTGTTTCACGTCGGCTTTCTGTGACGCCGTAGTGACACTCCGGTCGAGCCAACCCATTCGTGCCGGTGTGTGGTGCTCTACCAAACATACCGAACTGCATACCTATACATATTATGTACATAAAATGCATTTCGTTTAATCTCTGCATTGCTTATGTAAGTAGGTGATACCTGTCGACATATGCATTAGTTCAATTGGATTTTTCTCTATGCACCTCGGGGATATGAAATGGTTAAGTCAGAGTCGACTGTTAGAGAGCGGAGTCTATTATCAAAACGTATTCTACTAAAATACTTGTATCACAATGAATAGGGCTGATTTAAAAAATAGGTTCGTTTCACGTGTATTTTTCCTTCACAGTCAATGCTGTCCAAATAATTTTAGAAAGTATTTATAATTAGGAAAATGTTATATTGCTTCTTGCCAGGTCTCGAACCTCCATGAATGCAGGTCATGGGAAGGGATTTTTAGACAGTGAGAGTCTGACATTCCCTCTCGCTTCGCCCAGGTTGAGACGTCATTTGATGATACTCCCGTTTAAAAAACTCTTATTTGGAAGATTTTGAACTCTCATACCTCTGCCTAAGCCTCCAGGCCACCACGAATTATGTATATGTATTATATGTATAACAACACTGTAATTGTACTAGTGGAACTTGTAATGATTCTTGGAAATAAGATATAGGTATCTACATACATATTATGTAGTTAAATGTTCGTGTTGAATCATTTTAGTTACATATGTACTATCTACATACATACCTATTTATTTATATTTAAGAGCATGTTAAATCTTCCAATTACTACTCCCTCCCTGAGTTGAAGGATAGGGAGTGTCAGACTCTTTCTGACTAACAACCAACACGTTCCTTCTCCAGCTACGGACTTGGAATCACGCGTACAATCTAAACCCTGGCTGAACCCGCAATTCCGGCTGGACTCATGCTACGTTTTAGCTAACACAAATGGTAGAATGCTGTTTAACAAATCTGTATGTATATGACGGAGCGTCGATTATTTAAATTGAATTTTGAAGGAGGTTTTATCACATTCGAATCGTACTCTGGCGGAACGTCAAACAGACAGTTCTGCGTGCGCAATATGGTGTGGTGGAGAGCGGGCGCTATGACTGTCATGAGACGGATCGCCGACGTCCGTTATTTTTGTAATTTATTCGGTCTGATTATAAAATCCTACGTCCTGCGATGGACTGTGAAGACGATGATCGGGATGTTGATGTTTGTACCAACCCCTCGGTGCCTTCATACGACGACGATTCAGACGATTTCGTCAGAGTCACGCGAAGTCAATAAGGCGAGGAGGACTAAGGGGAAGGTCTTTGTCCAGGAGTGGACGTCTTCTGGCTGATAATTATGACACATTTTATCACAGATGCTTTTTTCTTTTAAAGAAACGTTGACTCACACTAGAATTTTCATCTGTGCCATGGGTGCGTTTACAAAATAGCAATTTGTGAATCACACAAAGTGTTGTGACAGCGCGACACGTCGCACGGCAGCCAGTTGCCCAGCTACCGCGGCAACCATGCACCATGCAGTCAAGATGTTGTCAGTAAATACGGCAATGGTGCAGTGTGTGTATGGCTAACAAAACTACAAACATAAAAACCACTTCGCTTTTTTTTTCAATTAAAATCATATTGGCGCTGTAATAGTGAATGACATCCGCACTTAAAATTAACGAAAAACAAAAATAGTTCTCTCTCAACGTGAATCGTTAACCTTTTTATTTCTGTATAATCATGGTCGCCTTTTAATTTCTATCCACTTTGGTGTAAGCGAAACTCTTTACCTTATAAATAGTATTCGTGACCCCGGCGTTAAGGATCTCTAAAAATATAATATCTTCTACAAGTACAGGCTTGCCGTTGCCGTTTCAATTTAATTAAAAATACTGTTGTGCACCCAGGTTGTACTTAGTCTGAGTTTTTTTACCTTTAATAGTTTCAAACATAGCAGGTACCTACCATAAGTTTAAATTAAAATGTAAACAGGCTTTCGACCGTACGATTGATGCGGTGGCTGGGCTGTATCTGCTGTGTTGCCGGTACGATTCTCATATGGGACAGCTCTTTGTGTGATTCACAAATTATTATTCCGGGTCTGGGTGTGATTTGTATGTTTGTAAATGCATCGTTGACACTGGAGGAAATCCTAGTGTGGAAACGTTTTATTGGAAAATAAAGAAATAAAATTTTATTCAAAACTTATGTACCTAGATTGCAAATGTTTTTGTTCGTGATTGTTTAAAATAAAAAAATAACTACGTTGGAAAGTACCTACCTAACCAACTTTTCCAAGAATACTGATCCCATATATAGGTAATTATGCCTTTTAGCAAGTACTTGATGATTTATTACCTAAGTAAATAAATTTAAAAATACCCACATACCTAAATTTGTTTGTTTTTTTTTTCTTGCTTGTTTTTATCAATAGAGATGCACCTACCACTCATATTTCTCCACCACCCAAAGGTAGACTGGCAGAGAACGCCTAAGGCGTTAAGTCCGCCATTGTACTCGTACGTTGTGCAAGAAGTGTAAAATAAATTAATATATAATTTACCTTTATAATAAGAAAATACATTTCTAATACTTTGTCTACGATTCTCTGCACCTTCAAAACTACATCATAAAAGTAAAAAACACCCTACAAAACATCTTTCCTTTGTCAAAAAAGCACTTGAAAATTTTCCTCCCTTTCAACACTTTAAAATTGTCCCAACAAGTAACGTAAAGAAACAAACAACTCGAATATATAATTATTATCGTTCAAATAACGTGCAAATTTTTACGATAAGGACCATGTTTTTATAGAGAACTCCATTTTTGTTCAGGCACTTAGCACTTACCTAACATCTTTTTTCGCTAATGTTCCTTTCTAGCATAGAGGTAAAACATATTTATATAGCACTTAGGTATGCTAAGTTAAAATAGGCGAAGATAAAAAAGAATGGTCTAGGAGTTAGCTTAGAGCGTCCTCCTGCTAGGTGGACCGATGACCTCGTCAGAGAGAACTAAGGGAACTAACTAACTAACACCTTTGTCCAGCTGCGAACGTCTTCCGGCTGATGATGATGATGATGATGATGATTGTCACCAGTACTCTTGCCACGCGTGTCGCCGCCTTATAGACAACGCCGCCTTATAACCGGCGTTTAACAACACAGCGTGTGTTTTGCCCTGTGAGTGAGGTTACTGGCGACACAATCCTTCCCCTCCCACCATCCCGCCCCAATCTCTAAATCTCCGTCTCAATATAAGGCTACGCACTTGTAACTCCTCTGGCGTTGCCTATGTCCATGGGCGGAGCCGATTACTTACCATTAGGTAATCTATGAGCTCGTTTGCCGATTAATCACATTAAAAAATGTTGTTTCGGGGTTCTGAATCTTTTTTTCTTCGAATTAAAGTAAATTTTGGGTTTTACATGGCGAGATGTCTGGTAAATGTAATTAGGTCTCAAAAGTTTTATATTTAATCCGTTTAGTGAAAGGTGCCTTTTTCAATAGATTTAAGGAAAGTTTTATCTAATTCTAAAGTGGATTAAGAATATTTTTAGGGCACGGGTTTCGATCGAATATGTGTAGGTAGGTACAGACTGTACATAAACACAAGAAATTAGATATTTTATAATTAACGAGAGATATTTGGAATTTAAAAACCCGTTTATCCAGAAAATTAAATCGTCCTGCACAGCAGACACACTTACGATCACTGTAAGAAAATTGCCATCATATGTACTTATAGCCAAAACCATTTCTTTAACTATTAATGTATATAATAAATTGATCGCAAAATGTGTTGGTCAAAAGACTTCTCCCGCCCAGAGTAAGACGAGAGAGAGTGTCTTACTGACTAAAACTCCCTCGTCTCTTCTCCTGTTTTAGGCCGAAGCCGCGGTGCCACATTGCGCTTACCCCGCAACCCCGAGGTAGAACATCCCTAAGGCATTAAGGCGCCTATTTACCCATTTATATGAAGTTTTTATAAATAAATAAATAAAACTACATTAATAAAGTATAGTTTATATAAAGTTACATAAAGTTACACAAATCTATAAAAAGACACCGAGACATATCTTCTACCAATTAAGTTAGTAAAATAAAAAGTGTACATAAAATCTACACAGACCTTCCTAAATACCTAAATTAAAAAAAAAACAAACACGAACATTGACCCCTAATCGCAAACACCTCAATCATCAATCATAAAGTTAAAGAAAAAAATGGCGTAGGTACCTCAGCACTTACGGAGTAACACGTCAGCGAAAAACGAAAGTGCCTTTCAAGTCCTGAAGTGGAGAGTTTCTGGCAAATACTCCTCCTATTTATATATTACTATACATATTTACTCGGTCTTATTTACTTACGAAATGGGAAAGTTATCATTACACTATGAGCGACGGCTTGACAAATAAGTTTGGGTTGTACCTAGGTGCTTATGAATGTCAACGAATTGAGGCCACGAAAATTGATTTTTCAAGGTTGAAACTATATGTATAAGCTATTATTAATTTTATTTATTTAGGAAATTTTTGTTAGAAAAAAATATTTATTATCATTATTATCACCTACCTAATATCACGGAATGGAATAAACTCCCAGAAAATGTGATAAAAGCACCCACAGTTAATTCTTTTAAAAACAGACTCGACAATATCTCCAAATCCATTAATACGCACGCATCAGCTTTCTAAGCTGCTAGTGTGTTCAAGTATAATAATAATAATAATTAAGTTTGTGGGAGAGCTATGCTTCGACAACAATGGGCTGGCTAGACCGGAGTGATACCACGGCATCACGGAAAACCGCCGTGAAACAACACACAGCGTTGTGTTTCACCGTGTGAGTGAGGTTACCGGAGGCATAATCCTTCCCCTCCCCCAATCCCTAAATCGCCAAATCCCTAATCCCTAAAAGGTCGGCAACGCACTCGTAACTCCTCCGTTGCGGGTGTCCATGGGCGGCGCTGATTGCTTACTTTGCTTAATCAGTCTGCTCGTTTGCCGATCTATTACATAAAAAAAAAATAACCAATGGGCTGACTACACCAGAGTGATATCACGGTCTCACGGGAAGCCAACGGCAACGCAATCGCAACTTCTGCGTTGCGGGTGTCCATGGGCGACACTGATTGCTTACCATCAGGTAATCAGTATGCTCGTTTGCCGATCTATTACATAAAAATAACCAAAGGGCTGACTACACCGGTGTGATATCACGGCCTCACAGGAAACCAACGGGAACGCACGGTCGCGGTACATTATTGAGGGGGGGGACTTGATATGTTTCACATCATAACATTAAAATAATTAGATAAATTATCACTATAGTGTTGTGACTGTTGTACAGTGGGAGTCACAACACTATAAATTTTGAAAAAATCTTTTTTTTAATAATATGTTTTTATTACATTGGGATATCTTCTTTTTAAATCTTTGCGTGATCCACAAATTGTTGTTCCGGAAGTGGGTGTGATGTGTATGTGAAATTGTATATTTGTAAACGCAACCACGACACAGGAGAAAATCCTAGTGTGTTATTTGTTCTGCCTAATACTTACTACCTAAGTTCTGCAAGGCTGGACTACGGGCTGCTCTTCTAATAAAAAATCTTTAGTATCCGTGCTTGATAGAAGCATTGGAAACTTTTTTCAAAGTATAGGTTTTTCTGAGATCGGTGCGAGTAGTAAAGTCTATAGTCCCTAAAATGTAGATGTATACCTACCTTTACTTTACAACCTGTGTAACGTCACTTATTATAATTAGTTTTATACTACAAATTCCTAAGTAAAGTCATTTAATGGCAGGATAAATAAATAAATAAGTATCTTATTTATATAATCACATTTAAAAAAAACTGAGCTAAAAGTTTTATTTATTCTAAACTCAAGCAATTGAAAAGTGTCTTGGCAGAGACATCTAGCGATACCAACAATAACTAATCTCTCAAACAGTGACTTTGGAGTTTTGCGCTATATTACGAGATGACGCTGTATACAACTTTTAATTCAAGGCAAATACTACTTGCAACATTGAGATAAGCTTTTCAAAACCTTTTTCACGTAGTTCTTTTTTACACGAATTAGTTAGCGGTGTTTTATTCAGGCTAAGCTTAGTAGTAGGTACTCCATGTAAAAATATAGCTGATATTATTGTGAATGCGCCTTTCAATGTTTTCAGTTATTTTGGGCTATTTTTCAATTATCCTTTGACTATAAATTAGATAGTTTTATGATATCTATCGATATAATTCATAATACTAAACCATAATATTAAATCAGCTGATTTTATATTCGCGTAATAGATCAATTAATAGAACTTTATAAGACAGTTATATTTAAACATAATTTAAGGATAAGATAGTTCCGTTATTTAAAAAAAAAATTTTGTATAATAATAAATTTTATTCGTCAATAAACAACATATTTTACGAAATACACTTAAAAGTATTTTTCAAGCGGTTCTCCCAATATTTGTTCGAGTTTCCTAATGGCGTCTTTAGTAGATGCTTCTATTCTTGAGTCACCGTCTTCTAGAAGTTCAGCGAGGAACGGCACACTCTCAGCCAGAAGTGGTAACCAACTACTGCCCAATTGTGTTGCCATGGCAACAAGGCAGTCTAGGGCTGTCAATCTGAAAAAAAAACAACAAAAATGTTTTAAAATTCTGTACGTTTATTTAATTGTACATACTTGAGAAACACTGTTGTGAGTGCCTGAAGGTTAAGGCGCTCGCTTCTCATGCAAGAGTAGCGAAAACCTGGACTTTTATAAGCGTGACTATTAACCTTGAGCAAGCATGGTGACAATGCTCAAACCTTGTCGGTGTGAGAAGAGTCTCAGCTTTGAGCACTTACAGGCTGATAATGATGGTGACAGGAAATACCATCGATCAATCTAATAGTAACGGGTAAGTATTGGTTGCCAGGTACAAAAATTGTTATCTGGTTGTCGATGGTCAAAATTCCCAATAATTGTCTAATTCGTTAAAGTTGGTTAAGAGAAATTTGTACGTATCGTAAGGTAATACAATACGTGAAACATGTTATAACATGACTGGCGAACATATGTTTTAATTAATTTTGGTTTCACTAACTCACTTAAGAGCCCTTTTAAGCCATAAATTGTATAGTTTTTTATATGTAAATGTATAATATTAGAACATTTTTACACTAACCTGATCTCAGCATCATTATGCCTAGTCTTCAGCAAGATCTGGTAATTCAACAACTTCCAAAGTGAGTCATCCGCAGTTGCAACCGCGAACTGCGCCACGCAAGGGATTAGATACTCTGTAGCCCTTGACTTAAGGCTCTGAATACCTCCCAACGTGTTCTCCAACTGGTCTACCACAGGCTGCATCAGAGTTTCAAACCGATCTTTGTTTAAGAAGCTCTGACTATCATATAAGAAGACTGTGTACAGGGTTTTAATAATATACTTGACTAGAGTCAAGCATTTTTCTTCAGAATCAAAGTACAAGTCCTCCGTTTTACTGTTGTTGCAAGAATCAAGGAGGTCCGATGCGTTTTTGATGAAATGACCAGCAAAGAGAACAAACAGGCCTTTCAGTTTGTCTGCGATCGCACAGCTTAGTCTGCAAGAGGTTGAAAAAAGGTTTTAGTAAAATAGGTACAATAGAGGCAATTATTTATACTACGTTGCTACTAGTACTTTGGTTTCGGCTTTAAATCGAACATTGTTGTTTATATTATGTGTATTTAGATATCCTCAATATTAGCATGGTATACAATAATATTTACTTGTATAAGTGAAGGAAACAATAATAAAGCTCTCTAAGAATAATTGTGAAATTAATTTTAAATATTTGAATGGATAAATAAAACTGTATCTTACCTGTAGAAAGTGATCGCCCGATCTTTCTGTCCTTCAACATTAGTCCTTATGGCCCAATCATAGATCTTGAAATAGAAGGGTCTGAAGCTAGTTTCTGAAAGCTTCAGAACGAGAGAGACCAGAGCATTTACCACTTCATCTTCAGCTCTATCAATGACGTCAGCACTGACATCTTTTTCAACGGCATCACTTCTTAGTTGCAAGGCCGTCAAGAAGAATGAGGTCAGGTCTTGCTGGAGGGCTGTGAAATCTGCTGTAGTGACATTAGCAAAGCTGTCAGCTAAAACAGACATCACAGGACCAACAGCATCAAAGTCCTCCTTCTCCAGAAGCATTTGATGAGTCTGATTAACCACTGGAATGAGAACCCTAGGCGGTATGGACCCAGCAATTTTCTTCTTGATGGTCAACAGTTTTGAAACTATTGCGGACACTTTGGTGCATTCCTGGTCTAGACTTTGCCATTTAGCCAACAAAATGGAATACTCATATAGTATCTTCTGCAAGTAAGGACTCAGGAACAGTGGTAGGCTTTCGACAATCTTTGCAATCGCGGTCACTGTGCTGAGAAGTACCAGTTCTTGAGTTTCTGATTTGCGCTGCTTCTTCAGCACCTTGATAAGAGCTGGCATGAACTTGCGAAGGCTAGCTAAAGCATGAGCCTTCAGATTACTACATAATTCCGCCAAACACAAGACAACGGAAGCCATAACATTGCCAGCAATGTTCGGATTACAAGTGTAGTCGGTTACTGTCTCCAGGACATTCTTAAATGGCTCAGGATTTTCTGACGCAAGCATTCTAGTCAACAACTTCAAAGACAGCAAAGCAGTTTGCTGGTTCAACTCCAATTCCTGAGCAGCAATCTCGCTTAAATTCTCATCTCGAACCTCAATTGTCTTAACAATATCTAGTAGAGGAGGCAACAATGAGAAAAGCAAATCTTTTTCTACACCCTCGAATAATTCAGGGCTGAATTGAATTTTGGAGTTAAGTAGTTCCATGGACTTCCTTCTGACGGTCTGTAGAGTATGTTTTAGAAGACCTCTGACGACAGAGAGGAACATCGGAGCAGAGAGCAAATTGTTCGTATGATCTAATAAATCGTAGCTGTGATGCAACATAACACGCCAATATTTAGCCGTCTTATCATCAGAAACCTTTGAAATCGCCTGGATGAAAGTCAGAATATTGATAATAAAGGTTTTGTAATGAGTTTCCATTGCTTTATTATCAGTCACTTGGCTACTATGCTGAATGAACCTGGATGAGGCCAGGCAGGTGTTCATAAATGTGATTACCATGTATTTGTAGTGTCGTAGTTGTAGTGGAGAATGTCCAGCAACGCTGAATATGTCACTTGGGTCAACATCAGTGTCCATAACATTCTCGTCCTTCTGCAAAGGCAGGGATTTGATGTAAATTATCAGTTTTATGAAGTTCTCCAAAGCAACTTCAGGTGGAAACTCTAGCACGATGCTTTGTCCAAAATCAATGCGATTGATTGGTGCTTCTTGGTCTGCTAAGGTTCTTGAATTACGTTTATCTATCTTTTTGTCTTCGCTAAAGTGGGCAACGTGAGTCTCAAGAAGTAATGCCAGGAATACCCATAGGAACTGACTAGGTCCTAAAGTCTCAATTAGCTTTTTGAACAATGGAAGCCTCCTATGCTCTGGTACATGCAACACGCAATCAGCAAATATACGCAAAACTGGAACAACACGGTTTTGTAACTGCTCAAGTTCTTTTTCTGTGTGGTCTTCGATACTCTTGTCCAATTTCACAAGAATTGGTATCAACGTCTCGATGATTTTGATTATTATCTGGAAACTGTAAGCGTCATCGTGTCTTAGAACTGATGTGCCCATGAAAGTGAATATTTCCATCGTGTGATGAAGGACTTGCTCTGGCAACATGAATGCAGCGTGCGACAAGAGAATAAGAGCGTGGTGGTGTGTTTGAGGATTTTGCGTACCTCTGATACACTGCACAGCCAGTTCAACATTAAAAACGGATTTAAGAGACTTCATTTGTTCCTTGTCTTTTTCGTCAACGAATTTCTTGCAATAGTACCACAAAGATGATAGAATGAGCTGTTTTGTATACTCAACGTGTGATTGCTCTTCGAATCTCAAGCATTTGTTTAATATTTGGAACAAAAGCGAGACGAAAGTATTATCCAACTTCATTTTCTTCTTGCTCTGTACGAATTCAAGGAAAGCAACTCCCAACCTCCAGTCGTCGGTCTCTGTTACCTGATAAGATAGCATAGAGACGGTCGACTTCTTTTTCTTGGACATATTCTCAGCTGGATCCACTACATTCAACATTTTTTCCAATATAGGTTTGAAGTGACTGAATTTCAGATGGATCTTTTTCATTACTTTCGAAGCCACACTCGATATTGAGGGATTGTTGCTGACCGCGCCAGCACAAGCGATCAAGTGCACAAGACCATTACATTTTTCTTCGGGAACTTTATTGAAAATATCTTCATCTATCTGTTTCATTATGAGAACAGATGGACTAACGAATGATTGGTCCTCCTGTAGAATACATTCTCGATACTCTTTAAGGCCTAATTCTATCGAAGTCCAAACTTGTTCGTTTGAGAATGTGGAAACAGTTGATTCATTAATATGGCCATACACACTCTTAAACATATTTGACTCGTAAATATCGAAAGTGAATCTTGTATTCAGGCTATTTTGTTGCAAAGTTTCTTCTAAAGGTTTCAAAGATTGTACAAAGTGTGGGAATGCGGTCGCATTCTTGACTTCGCAAAGGATTTTAAGGAAACTAGACTTAATGTGCGAAGGGGCCCCGGAGTTCAATATGGCAACTAACTTTAAAAGGCAGTTGCGCCTAAACAGCTTTTTCTGATCCTTTTGAGTCAGTATCGTATTTAGAACATGTTTCACTTGATTATGGTCGAGTAACATTTCTTCTTTATGCATCAATAACTCTTCATACAACTGCACGTATACTAATTTCTTGTCCGGTTCTTCTCTCATTAACTTGTTTACAAAATCAATAGCGCATTCACGGATAGCACTAATCGGATTGTTCAAACACAACAAAATAGTTAGGACCACAACATCAGAGTCATACAGCCATTTCTCTTTATCTTGTACAGCTAGGAAATTGGAGAGCAATTTGAGACTTCTAAGTTGCAATTCGGGACCAATAACGTCCTTGGGGTCAGTTGCATACATAATATGTCCACAAGCGAAATTGGCAATTAACTCGAATTTCTCACGTGGAGTTTTGTAGAATTTCTCCATCAATTTTTGAAGCAGAGCGACGTAGTTTTCTCCGTAACTCGGAATCGCACATCCAATCACACAAATCTCGTACAGTCTCCTAATAAGGACGGTTTCTGGAGATTTACAGAAATCGCACCACGGTTTAGGGATTTTATTGACATTCATATCTTCAATCACTCTTGAGAATATGTACTCGATAATTTGGAAGAGCATATTATTTTGACGACAAAGCTTAATAAACTCAGGCATGATAAGGCTGGAGAAAACTTGGCCTTCAGAACTGTGGACTATGGATCTATTTTCAACAGACTCTAAAAGCAAATTAAGTATGGCTGAGACTTCTTCGACAGTGGCACTTTTGAGAGAACTGGTTTTTAACAACATGTAGAAGCAGACATCTAAAGTATTGCCTTTATTCAACTGATTTTCATCAAGGATTTCATCCAAATTCAATGTTCTATCCACAAACAGCGCTTTGAAGATAACTTCGCAAAGTTTGGCGTGGTTATCCTTTATGGATCCTTTGAGGTCTTTAGTTTTATTAGCAAGACCAAATTTCTTACCCCAGGCCGAAGTTAGTATCTGCCATGTCAGTTTAGCAGACTCCTCATCACTGGGGAATAGGTAAGGCACTAAAGCTAACACTGTTTCCTGATTAACAGGTAAAATTTCTGTAGAGCAAAATGTAGTGACGGCCTTTTTTACGATATTTTTCCATTTCTTAGACCCTTTTCCGACAATAGCAACAAAGGTGCCAGTAGCATCAGCTCCATCGAGTATGTCTTTTAAGTACTCAGTAGGGATGTCTAAAGCTGTATTGACGACTTCCGGATTATCATCATTCAGCCTATTAATTATAGATTCTTTGACGAAATCAGCATTTTCTGTTTTTAAAGCTTCGAATTCTTTAGCAATATACTTGACTGCTTCTATTCTCAATTTAGCATTGATATGGTTGAGGTTTTCAAAGAGATAGGTGTCACCAACCTTGTGTGCGATTGCGGGTTTGAAACCCAACAATTTTGAGAGCTGACTTCGCCTTTTTTGGGAGTTTTTGCTGTTAGAACTCATTTGTTCTTTGACGACTTTATCGAAGGCGTCAGGATATTGACGTTCAAGATTCTTCACGAATAAGGCGTACCAGTTGAAAGCTTTGCTGGAAGTGTCATCTTCATCAATTATCTCGACGTCACTGCCATCGTCATCATCAGTGATTGTGTTTGTGTTTTGAGGTTGGAAGGAGTCAAGAACACATCTGAAATTTCAATATTGGTGACATTAGTATCAGAAGAATTGATATTAATATAAGATATTCAGGTCTTTCTTATTTTGGGTGTAACTGTACTATCCTGTGTGTTGTTAAAAAAAATATAATTTGGAGGTCAATTATTAATATATTGTTCAATATTATAAATTCTATTGTGTTTTTGCAGTTATCACAATTGTATTGGTGTCTATTTGAAGCCACACATCACTCTTTTTCGCAAATAAACTCACAGGTACCTACTACTAAAAACGAAAAAAAAAGGTAGGTGCCATGCTAATTAATTTGAAAATTCTAATTAGTAAAGTTAATTATTTAAATATATAAATAATTAACTTTACTAGTTTTTGAGTGGTTTGCATAAGATCTTGAGGATTTAGAAACATGTCTTAGAGTCTATTTAAAGCCAAACATCACTGTTTAATATTGCTATTAAACACACAGGTTATTGACATGCATACCTAATCATTTCAAATATGTTGAGAAATATAATAAGAATATCTAAAAACTTACTTGATAATTGATTCAGGCTTTTGCTGTTTCAAGTCTATTTCCCCTATCAAAATTTCAGGTAGTTTACAGTACCTCCAGAAGTCTTCACTCTGTATCAATGGCAGAACACTAGAGAGGAATGCTAACAAAAAAGCACCAATTTTGTGCCGTTTTTCAACCAACTTTTTAATATGACTGCATAGAGAATTCATTATATCAATAGACATATCATTCAGTATATCTTCAGACATCTTCTTCATATGGCTCTGCTTCTCATAGACCATTGTTATAAGGATTGCTACGTCAACTGAAATATCAAACTCAGTAGTCAACAGTTTTAAGACTATTTCATTTAGCGTGTCCTCTTTCAAACTTGTTTTTGTGAGCAAGTATCCTAGAGTAATGTACGCGGCAGATCTAAAATCTGCAATTGGTGATTCTATTGCTTTTATCACAGTTGGCAATAGGGCGTTAACAATAGCTTCCGTGACTTTCTTGCTGGAGTCCATCACACCAATCGCAGTCTGACAGAAGAATGCGTACACAGTATTGAGTTGTGTTGCCCTTTCGCCAAATTCTTTAACATACTTCAAAGTAGTTTTTGCAATAAATTGCAATGTACCATTATTAGAGACACATTGGTTGAACAAAACCTGGTTGGCTAAAGCAATGCCATTCTTATGAACAGGCATAAGCCAGTTCCATCTATTATTGGTTGATTTGATGTCCATAAGTTGGACAAATCTGACAAATATTTTTGTACCGTGGTATGGAAGAATTAATGCCATGATGGCATCTTGATTGTATTGCTGGATATGGTATCTGTTGATAAGCCATTCTAGAGCTTTGTGAGAAGATTGTAATAGAAGGTAAGGCGATAACTGTAGGAGAAACTTCTCAATGGTCTGATCAAGGTTTTGATTAACCTCCTTGGTTTGCACTGCCCTCTCAAAGTCCTTAGATGACAGGCTGTATAGAGTATCTTCAAAAACACGGAACCCTTCGTATAACGCGATAAGTTCTCTCAATCCACTAAGTCCAATTTCATAAAATGTGTCGCGGTCTTTATTAGCGGCTTCTTTCGGGTCAAAAAGTAACGAGACTGTTTTCTTATCATCTTTATAGATTGTTGATTGCGGTACTGTTAGCTTTTTGAGCTGTTCCGCTAAAGATGTTGTAGCCATGGTCACGGTTTTGTCTGGAACAATATTCTAAAATTTAAAATACCACACCGGGTATTAAGGTTACACAAACTTTCAAGTGAGAAAACGTTCTACGTACCAACTTGTCATCAATAACAATGAAGATTTGTAACTTTTTGTTATTCACATAAATTCGTTATATTTCAATTTAAACCAAAAACACTAACTAAATGAGCACGTGGAATTATCAGTAGAATTCAGTGTTTACAAGTGTTGAAGCTGTCAGAAGCACTGACAAACTGAGGACTTGACATTTGATAATACGTTTGGTTACTAATAATTGAAAAAATCTAGTCACGAAACAATAAAGTAGTAGGTATCATCAATATTTACGCAACTGATTTGGATTAATTTAGTAAGATAGTAAGAATAAAAATCAAATCAAATAAATTAAGCACTACATTTAATAATTGAGTGGTACTTTTTCTCTAGGGCAAAAACTAAACGTATTTTATAATGTTGCCAAGTGGAAAGTAAAATAGAATTTTGTACTTTATTAAATTGTAAAATAAATACTTTTCTCAAAAAAAAGTTTCACATGAAGTAATTCTCTGTCAGTACAATACCCATTTTAACTAAAACCTGATCCCTGATCTTCTGATAGCATATTTAAATTACACTAGAATTTTCTCCTGTGTCGACTTAGAAAAATTGAAATTTATCAACATAGAAAATGTCAGGCACATTCCACCCAAAATAATAATGAAATATAATAATATTATAATAATTTAATCCTTGCTGGAATCGTACCTACTGGTGCAAAGTCTGAATAATAATAAGCTATTTTCTTAACATATTATTATAATCATGCTTAGTGTACTCATTTTATAAACAGAGATGATTAGCTTGAAATTAATTTCATTTTTGGTCGACAAGTGTGCAGATGAATTAATTGCATGTAAAAAATCCTCCCCGCCTATGGAAACTAGATTTGTTAGTACATTACTCAGCCTTATGGGGATATAGAACTTTTTTCAAAATTGTTTTGTATTTTAACCTGGTTTTTTGCCGCACTTTAGTATCTTTCTAATCCAACCGGTTTACACAAGTTGAAGCACGGTTCTCCCACATGAAGTCTTTTTCCCTTACGCGTTGCGATTATTTTATATCTGTATATTCAACGGCAGGTCAGAATCAGAACATTAATTATGTGATTATAGTTTTATTTATTTGATTATACTAATATACCAAAATGATTGACGAAACTAGCAACACTGTCAATGACACTGAATTTGACTTGCAGTTTTACCAGATGATTCTTGTTTACAAATTCTCAAGGAATTTGCGTATAATTTACGTTACTAATGTTATTGAGTTTTATCAATTAACAATGTTAAAATTATGACGTATATTTAGTGTAAGATAAACACGTGTTTGTGTAGTGCTATTACTGTATTCAGTAAGCATCGTATGATTTAAGTGTACTTCTTTGTTCTCTTGTAAACATGGCAATGAGAATAGTTGTTCTGTCTATTTTATTTTTTATTGTTCCTATTTTGTGTTATAAACCTGTGGTACTTATCCATGGGGTGATGACTGGAAGTGCTAGCATGGAACTGATAAAGTTAAGGATCGAAGAGGTAAGGTTTTAATAATGACGCTGGTTTTTCCTATTTTTTGTGGCTATCTTTATTTCCTTTTATTTTGAGGGTCAAGTTCATTCACCTATTGCCATTGTGCCGTGTAATGATAGATGATGGAATTTGAATTGTAACTTTTTGCTAGCATTCATTTGTGAATGTTATAATTTTAGTTAGGCACTTTTTTAGTTAGGTAGTTCCCCCTTCTAGTGATTTCTATTATGATAAAAACTGTGATGTACCTGTTAAAAATACAGTTGTATAATTAAACCATTGGTAAGCAATCATAAACATAACAAAATTTTGATATTTAAGTTAAAAAAAAATATACTCTTCTCATCTACTTAAGCTATTTTTTTCTTCATAAGTAATCCTTAGACAGGAAGAGTAAAAACAGAGCAACAAAGGTATCTTTGTAGTTAAAAATATTAATGTAGCACTTAATATTTTTAAATTATTATTAAGCCTACTAATTTTATAAAGATGTAATACTTAATTAAATTATAAACAGATGTTTGTTACACATTCAAGTAAAAAAATACTTGTACTGAATAGTTTCACAGAGGTTGATTCATACATAGTGCATGCAAAGCTCCTAACAGGAGCTAGATATCTTTTGTTTACTTCACAAAAACAAAATTCCTGAGATTTTTAATCATCTTGGTGAATTGAAACATAACAATATATTAAATTTCCTTTTGCAAAAACCTTTTAATAACAATATTTATTAACACAACAAAAAAGCATTGGCAAAATATTAGTCTTTGCAATGGTTCAGTTATGCGCTTACCAACACATTTTTATCGCTAGCTACACCCGCTGCTGGACTTCTGTTGGTCATATGGTGATGTCTTATAGCACTCGGAAACATTATAGCTATTTATCTGTGAAAGAATTTTGGAAATTCGACCAGAGGTTCCAAAGACCTGCATTCAAACTTACAAATTTTACCTCTTTATAATATAAGTATAGATTCATTTATATATTTATTTTCCAGCAACATCCAGGTACAATAGTGTACAATGTGAACAGATTTGAAAGCTGGTCCAGTTTGGAGACAATGTGGCATCAGGTGCTGGAGATAGGCATGGATATTGCCAACATATCGAGTAAACATCCTGAAGGAATTAATCTTATTGGTAAGAAGACAGTAGTTAGTTACTAATTAAATTACATGCTGAGAAACTTTTTAAGTGTTAGAGAGCCATGCTTCGGCATAAATGGGTCGACTCAAACAGCCTCGCAGTAAACCGGCGTGAAACACCCACAGAGTTGTGTTTCGCCGTGTGAGCGAGGTTACCGGTGGCCCAATCCTTATCCTTCCTCTCCCCCAATCCCTAGTACCAAAAGGTCGCCAACGCATTGGTAACTCCTTTGTTGTTGCGAGTGACCATGGGCGGCGCTGATTGCTTACCAGGTACAGGTAATCCGTCTGCTAGTTTGCCGACCAATCATACTTACCTATATAAAAAAAACTTTTAACGATTATTCAAACATAAGTATTTGTTTTGTCAGTCAGTGCGATTTGCTTCCGAAAACAATAGCTTCTTTTTATAAGACAGGGCGGCAAACGAGCATACTGATTACCTGACGGTAAGTAATAGGCGGCGCCCATGGACACCTTTGACACTGGAGCAGTTACGAACGCTTTCGTCGGCCTTGTGCAGGTAATGGTTTTGGAGATTTGAGAGTTAGATGAGGGAGTGTAAGGGTTGGATGTCCGGTAACCTCACTTACGTGCCGAAATACAATGCTGTGATTGTTTTCTGTAAAGTTGTGGTATCAGCCCAGTCGAGCCAACCCATTCGTGCCGAAGCATGGCCCTCCCACACTAATTAATATTGCTTATCTTTTATTAAGTGATTTTTTTGTGAAAAATCGAAGCATACAGCTGCTTTAGTTATAATTAATCCAGATAGAGTTAAATAAAAAATATTAAAACAGACACCTATTCTTATCTGTATATTAAGACTAATGTGTAAAATGTATGTTTTTCCAGGATATTCCCAAGGAGGTTTGATTGCCCGTGGCATAGTAGAAACCTTCCCAAATGTGTCAGTCAGCACATTTATATCTCTGAGCTCACCGCAGGCTGGACAATATGGAGGTAAATAGTAAATATTATTTATTATTATAAAGTTGAATCATAGGTTTCAAATGACAACAAAGGAAACGTGAAACATTAGATATAAACAATGTTACTCTTGTCATAGAGAGAAAACAAATATTTATGTGATAGATCATCATACAAAATACTTCTTGATCCATTTTGTCGCCTAATGGTAAGCAATCGGTACCGCCTATGGACACCCGCAACACTAATGGAGTTGCTAGTATTATGACTTTTGAGGATTCACGAAGATTTGGCCTCAGGTGACCTCATTGTGAGAGGGAATGGACGATCTGGCTACCTATTCGGGATAATCACTTCTGTGAATAAAAAGTTCAGATTATTCTTTCTTAACTAGCTTCCGCCCGCACCTATCCAGGATATCGCCTACCTTCATACCAAATTTGAATCAAATCGGTCCAGCCATTTTTGCTTAAACCATTCTCACAATCTTTCACGTTTAGGTATAACATTATTAGGATTATTAGGACAATTAGTAGGATTACAAGATTAAAAACCTTCAAAATATTAACTTCTAATTATAAATCCTCTTTCTCAACGTTCCAGCTGGATTCCTCCACTTGGTGTTTCCCGGTCTGGTGAAGGATACAGTTTATGAGTTATTCTATTCCCGTGTTGGTCAACATACTTCAGTCGGCAACTATTGGAACGACCCCTATCACCAGAGCCTCTACGAGTCTTACAGCGTGTACCTTCCGTACATAAATAACCATTTACCGTAAGTATCTAGTTTCTCAACTATTTAATAGGTGTTATTATACATATAAACATATATGTTATTAAAAAAACCGCATCAATATCCGTTGCGTAGTTTTATAGGTAGGTACATTTAAGCATACATAGAAGGACAGAAAATGCGACTGATTTTATACCATGTACTTAGTGATTCTTTTAAATACGTTGCAAAGTTTTCTCTTAACTGGTGCAGTAATTTTTGTGTAAATGCCTCACAGACATACAAACGTTAAGTACAAGTTTATGCTAAAATACCAATTAATTTACTAGCTTGTTCCAGCGGCTTCGACCGCGTTACCCGAAAAAAAGTATTGCGTGTGTGTTAATTCAGACTATTATCTATCTCTGTGGCAATTTTGATTAAAATCCATTCAGTAGTTTTTACATAAAAGAGCGAACGAAAACGCGTTCATGTTTTTACCTATAAGTAGGTTATAACTGTATTAGTACTTATACATTTTTCTAAATCGGTTCTTCTGTTTGGGCGTTTAAGCATACCAAACATACATATACAATTAATAGGTACCTATGTTAAATGTCAACAGGGTTCAATAATAATCTGCTTGATAACTTTATATAACGGTTAATAATAATAGCAAGGTAATAAATAGGTAGACAGTCGATAATTAATCATAGTTATCTAAGTTGAATGTACTTTTGTATAGGTATACGGTACTTTCCAACTCACTTTTTCCGAAGCAAAAATATGACGTCACAAAGTGCTCGTCATATTTTTTACAGCAAATACAGTACTAATTATTATATTTCTTGAATTATTAAAATAGGAACGTTGTGTGTGTTTTTTTTATCTATTATCTATATTAATATTATAAAGAAAATTTGTAAGTTTGTATGTAGGGGGTAATCTTTGGAACCGCTGCTCGGATTTCCAAAATTCTTTCACTGATAGATAGCTACAAAGTTCCTGAGTGCTATAGGCTATAAAAGCTCACGCTACGATCAAATGGATGGCAGCGGGTGAAATCGCGTGGTAGTAGCTATAGTTATAAGTAGTTATAGTTTGTGATAGAAATTAACTGTTTTCGTGGAAATTAAGTTATCAAATCGAAATTAATTAAAATCCAAAATATGGTTATAGGTAAACAAATACTGATAACTTTCAATTAAGTACTAATTATTAATTATAAATGTTAAGTGCGTTGTTTTTGTGTTCAATGCTCAGGCGAAACAAAAAAATGGTACCTAGTAAGTACGCAGATACTATCGCTGTTAAGGATTGGGTCTAGTTTTAACTAGTCTGCCTGCTTCTAAACACAATCGTTGACACTTCAATACAATAATTTATCAAAATATATTCATTGATTTGACTGACATTTCTAACATTATTTTAAGAATTTCTGTTATTCGACATAAGTACCTATATAAAATATTTAGAATAATATCGTTTCTGACACTTAAATTATTATATGTAAGTTTATTTCCCATATACATTTTTATTTATTTTAATAGTTTTATGTAAGTGTATAAAATATAGCTACTCTCGCGCGGTTTCACCCCGCTGCTCGGGTCCGTTTAATCGTAGCGTGATGTTTTATAGCCTATAGCACTTGGGAACATTGTAGCTATCCACCAGTGAAAGAATTTTGTAAATCCGACAAGCGGTTCCAGAGGTTATCCCCTACATACAAACTTAAAAATTTTACCTCTTTATAATATTAGTAGGTATAGATATTTCGATTTTGCTTGCTTTGCATCTACTGTTATCTCAGCATCAGCCAATGGTTCGACTGGAAGAGAATGCCTGTGGCATTAAGTCCACCTTGTCTTTGTACACGTATGTGCAAAAAGTCTAAATAAAGAAAGAAATAAGTAAAATTTATCTACTTATGAATTTTGCTGTTATAATACTTATTTATACCTAATATCTATTTAAAATCATATTGTTACTTAAATAAAACAATTAAATGGTGTTATTATAACTTCTAAATTATATTTCAGTATGAACTTTATCTAGGCTACTTGTATAGAAGAAAATTGGCCTTGTTCCAAGCCACGTGTGTAACACACGTGGAGTAGTATTAGAAAATGAATGTGGTTTAAAGAGCAGGTCTAAGTATAATATAGGACATAGAATCTTTATCTAATTTAATTATAGCTATTCGTGGTAGATAGTCGCGGTACACATCTATAGGAACTAACAATAAATATTATTTCTTAAAATAATATAATAAAGCTGAAGAGTTTGTTTGTTTGAACGCACCAATCTCCGGAACTGCTGGGTTGAATAGAATAATAAGTAGGCCATTTATTAACACTCGACCAATGCAATAATTAATATAATATAAGTAGGCAAAAAAATAAAAGTGAAATTAGAAGGAACTGGAGAAGCCAGCTAATTTATTTAGATATTGACAACCGCGCAACTTGTCGCGGATTCGATTCCCGCTCGGAACAACTTTTTGTGTGATTTACAAATTGTTGTTCCTGGTCTATTAAATGCACATATTAATGATTTAAGGATTTAGCAAGTAAATCCGAGTGTGGGGCAACGTTTTATATTTGAAAAAATAATAATAGAATAACTCCCTCGCCATATTTTTCTAACCGATTGATTTTTTTTGATTGAATGCGACAACCTCAAGAACTGACGAAATGATTATCATGCGATTCCCACTGTGAATAGAATACTAACTAGCAAATACCTATAGAGCAATTTTGATGATGGTTTCGATGGAGTCATGTACAAAAAATAGTGATGAAAACAAACAACAACAAATATTTTATTTAAAAAAAACTGCGGTATTTATCTCATTGTTTATGTTAATAATTAGAACGCGATAAATCAAAAATATTATGTTTTGTTGGTAACTGATTTTATTCAAGGCCACAGACATGATTAAGTTCTTTGAATTAATTAAGTATTTATTTATCAAAATACTAATGTAATTTATTTAAAAAAACAGTCAAAGTACTTTTTTTTACTTTTTTTATTTAGACCACTAAAAGTACTTTTCAACTTCAGATTTAAAATGTCAGTCTGTCGGTCAGTTCTCTTACAGAAGAGTTCCAAAGTGTAGATTTCGATGGAGAAGTACGAGTAAGAAACTCCATGTCCGTTTTGGCATTTCAAATATTATTGAGATAAGTTTTTTTGTATAAATCTGTATCAAATTCATTCGTAGCTAACGATTGGTAATTTCGACACTTCTCTCATCGGTTCCATGGTGTAACGGTTAGCACTCTGGACTCTGAATCCAGCGATCCGAGTTCAAATCTCGGTGGAACCTGATATTTTTGTATGATTCTTCAATATTCTTTAGATAATTGATTTTGTACTTTTTGACATATTTTTTTAATATTTTACTTTGATATTTATAATAATATTTTACAAAATTTGCAAAATGATCTAGCGCGAATTTGTAAGCGTCCTCTTTTGGAGCCGCAATATAGGTAACCAAATGTATTAATTTAAATAAATAATAAAAATTATTTATTTACAAATTCTTACATAATTATTTAATTCATCAAACCACGATTACGACGAAATATTGTGATTGCAAAATAATTATAGAATTATATGTGTATATTGTAATTATAATTATAAATATATTGTGTAATTATATATATGTGTCTATTGACGCATTATATCTTTAAACATTGCTATTATAATTCATTCTAATACGTAGAAGCAGCTAATAATAACTGCTTCCGTCAGTATTTGAAATGAGGTCAAGTTTATTTGGTCGCGTTATTGTAAATCATAACATTAAAGTCTATTGAATTGAATATTAGGTATTATTTTTTTCTTTAATTAAACTGTAGCCTTTTTGAGACTTAATTTGTACTGACTATAAAAAGTAGCAACAAAGCTAATGTTTTTTTTTTGAGTGGCGATGAGAGGAAATGTTAGATTCTTACTGACATAAAAAACGCCTCATTGGTTCTCCTGCTTAACGCCAGGGCTAATTAGCTGTCTGATAGTAAACAGTCACCATATACACGTAACGTTACGTCACAAATTTGGGTACTCATTGAAATATAAATTATTTCGACATTTCACAAAACACTGAATCATTAATTTTACGATATAAGTAAGTAGGTAGGTACTTACCTATTTAAAATTCGTATTTGTTTTTTATAGTTCGTCGTCACAACTTGTTATTTCATACAATAATATGACGTCACAACGTGCGACATCATACAAAATTCATAGAAAAATAACTTTTTTGAAAGAATTTGTGTAATCAGAAACTATTCTATTTATGTATTTGCATGTAAAATTCCATTAGCTCGTTTTTAAGCCCAAATAATTTCGTAATTTCCAGATCAGCAAAGTCAGCAGATTTCAAGAAGAACCTACTGAGGTTGAAGAGATTGGTGCTGATTGGAGGTCCTGATGATAACGTCATCACACCGTGGCAAAGCAGGTATGTACCTACTTGATCTTTTTCAAAATATAAACATTATTTCTCAAGCTATCTGGTCTTGCGGATCAAGCGAAATAATGTACGCCCCGGACTGAAGAAGGAGAAGGAACGGAGTGGTTCTTTAGTCAGTAAAAGTCTGATTGTCATACTCACTGAAGGGTCACACTGGCGGCGGGCGGTGGGATCGCTTCACCATCAGCCTATAAGTGCCCACTGCTGAGCAAAGGCCTCTTCTCATACGGAGAAGGCTAGAGCATTAATCACCACGCTTGCTCAATGCGGGTTGGTGATTTCAAACTTATAATTAGAAATTATAAGTCCAGGTTTCCTCACGATGTTTTCCTTCACCGTATGTCAGTGGTGTCTAAATAATCATAGAAAGTACATGTAACTCGGAAAAAGTCACATTGGTACTTGCCAGGTTTCAAACCCACACCCTCATGCATGAGAAGCGGGCTCCAAAACCTCCGGGCCAATGATTCCTGGATCGCTTAATTCCCTATAATATGGTTGAGTTGGGCGATGTTGGTGTACGTGTCATGTTCGTGAATGGGCGCCGTCATTTGGGACTAGTCAGCTCCAGACTGTCTATTGTCCTTAAGTTTATTTTCTTTTTATATTTCTCTGAATAAATATTAGTGTTACACTGTTCTCACATAATTGAACCAACTGTGGAGTTGAACAATGAACAAAACAAAACATTGAACCAACCAACCAAGGAATATGTATGAAACTGATTTAAAAAGAGTAACCATGGAGTTTTTTGCTCGTTCTTCTCCATCGGAATCTACAATTTGGAACGAGCAAATAGCTTCACTAAGAGGACTGACCGACACCGACTGACACTATATCTTCAAAATTTTGTTTGACGTTCAAAAGTGCCTGTAAGCGTCTAATTGGACTGGAATAAGTGATTTTTTGACTTTTGACTTTGACTTTGATGCTCCCTCTCGCTGTACCTTCCTTAGAAAGGATTGGGGAATCAGATATTAGGAAGGAAAGGGAAGGGACGGTCACACAATGAAAAACAATGCTGTGGTTGTTTTACGCCGGTTTTCTGTGAGGTCGTGGTACCTATGTGGTAGGTGTTTAAGACAAACAATACAATTTTGTTTGTTTGACCGGTGTTTAAAATTGTTTTCTATCTTTCTGACGTGTTTTATGTGATTAGAGTTGTAATGTCTTTTTACTTACCTGTTTCTTGAAAATGTATTGTTTTGTTATATATACATTTTTATTTATTTGCATTTAAAAAAATGAATTTCTTTTCTTGACAAGTATCTACCCGCCTAATTGTTTTGTAGCTTGTGTAACATATATTTTTTCATTTTAATTCCAGTCAATTCGGCTACTACAATGCGAACGAAACAATTATCGAGATGAAGGCTCAGGATATCTACGTTGAAGACAGGATCGGGCTTCGAACCCTGGACGAGACGGGACGACTTCACGTGGTCACCGTTCCAGGAATCAACCATTTCAATTGGCATATGAACATGAGTATTGTTGATAATTATTTATTACCATATTTGGATTAAGGAGTTAATCCTTGATGCGTTTATTCCCAGTTTAAAGGGGGAGGGGAAGGTTGTATGTATTTGTTTTTGATGTTGACGTATGGCTTTGTTTTTTAATGAAAATGTAGTACTCTAAGTAGATCAAGATTAGCTTGTGTTAGACATTAGTTATTTTTGCAACATATTATGTTTATTATAGTCTGATAAAAATATTTTTTTAGCTTATTTTGTCCTTATAATGAATGCATAATAATAATATTAAAGATGACATGTTAACATCAAAAAACAAATACAGATTTTCCTCAAAACCAGGCGGAAACAAATTATCTAAAAATTTGTCCTAATTCAACCAGTTAAGGTTTATTTTTCAGTGATTCCTCTGTGAGATAAATAATTTAATTTAATTTAAATACAATGTAAGTTAGATCTGGTATCGCAATAATCAATCTTAATTTCAATGACGATGAGTTCAAATTGGCATTTTTGTAGGTAGACTAGTAATTAAAAATCAAACGTGTCTTATTTCATTGGAATAAGGTTAATAACAGAATGAATTGATGTATTTTAAATAAGATGGAATATATTTTGTAATATTTTAAGAAAATTCCTAAATAAGCCAAATTACCTTTAATCTTAAATTCTAGTTTTACTGTCGTACTCAGACACATTTAATGATTACTTAAACTATTCCTTAGTAACGTATTTGTTCTAAAAGCAAAAATGTAATTGTCAATCAATCAAATAAATAATTTTTTTTGACGAAATGTCAAGGATGTGACGAAAGGTCAGGGATGACATACCTATATTCGTTTGAAATTGCAACTTAGATATGACGTCCTAATATTTTCACTTATAGAAAAACTACAACTATTCTGAATTTAAATATAGATAATTATTTTTTAATAGGATAGTACGGTATTGTCGATTTTCTTTATTTGGCCTACCCGAACCGGTAGTTTCAAACTAGTGAAATTTAAAAAAAGTATATTGAATTGTCATAAACGATACTTTTTAATGAATGTTGATAGTACATCGTCGAGGATTATTATGATATCATGATGTTTTTACATACGTTAAGTAGCACACTTAGGGCTGGAAAAGTGCCAAAAAACAAAATTTAAGTAACTATATCGCCAAATCAATTATATTTTTTTATAAACGTTGCCCCACATTAGCATTTTCTCCTGTGTCGTGGGTGCTGTTACAAACATACATTTTCACATACACAAGACACCCAGATCCGGAACAACAATTTGTGGATAACACAAAGAGTTGTTCCGTGCGGGAATCGAAGCCACGACACGTTGCACGGCAGCCAGTTGCCCAGCCACCGCACCAACCGTGCAGTCTTTAATTAAAATATGATTATTTTTTGCTGTATGATTTTATTCACCATAATATATTATATTGTACAATTCCTAAAGACTGGGTTAAGTAACCAATAACTGTTTCTGAGTGCGGTGGTCAGAATTAATTTCTGCTTTGGTAGCCAAATTTTACATACATCAATGTAATTTATTTATTATTACAATGTAATGTATACCTAATACATATACCTAACTGTATTTTTTACAGAAACTTGAATAAGTAATCGAATAATACAAATTTGATATAGTTACTAAATTCCTAATATTAAATTTGTATATTGATATTAGATTTATTTCGGTAGAATTAATAAGCTTTCTCGGATTATTGAATCTCATTTCTTCTCGCTTTTTAGATAATCTGTATATGTTTTATTAACTAATAATTACACCATTACGTGTTTTGACTTTCGTAGCACATGTTAATTTAAATATTGTGTTAAATGGTCTTATTCTTGTACCTGACGAGGATTTCGACTAGTTTCACACTATGAGCCCCTAGCGAAGCTTGAAACAAGTCGAGTTCCTCGTCAAAAAAATAGCTGGAGTAAGCCGTTAAACATATACTTAGATTCAAGTTTTTTTTTATTATTAATAGTGTAACGGCTCTAGTATGACATTTTGTCAATTTCATTCGTGTCTTACCTACATTATTTTTGCAAAATATTTTTGATAACCATATTAAATATATAGAAGTAAACATTATTGTAATGCTTGCAGGGTCCTATATGCTTCAAATTTTTAATTAAGTAGATATATATTATTTGTATGTCTTTATAATGCGCACCAAATGATTATTTTTATTATAGCCAGTATTTTATAAGCCATAAAAATGCATTCTGTTTAAATAGCAACTACCCTCTTAAATTCATAATTCATGAAGAGACAATTCATAATTTAGTTTTAATCATCCTTTTCATGTTACGTAGAAAGCAGTTGCTCAATAACAAAAATAAGTAGTCAATGTGTATTTTCATAATGAAACAATGATTTCGCAAGTTGAATCATGAATATCTATGTAATAATCACATACTTATTGTATGAATTATATTTTTATATATCGTATTATCTTTGTAGGATGATCGTTTTAGCTCAAATAATTGCCTCATTTTTTATCTATATTACCTACAAACCTATTATATGCCTAGATTTTTTTTTGTGAGGTGAAAATCATCAAATGACTTCTCCCGACCAGGGCCGGGCAGGAGGGAGTGTCAGACTCTTACTGACTAAAAACCCCCCTGTTCCTTCTCCTGCTCTATGCCGAGGTCGCGGTGCCTCATTGCGCTTACCCCGCAACCCCGGCTGAACATCAGCCCTATAGGGCCCCGTCTGTGGTGGTCTAATGGCTCTTTGAGGCGCGCGCGGAACGCTACGCGCCGTACGCTCGGGCCTGGTTCTGGTCGGGCGGCGAGCTGCCCTTACTCACCGACCGCAGGCCCATTATATGTCTAGATGGATAGTTTAAGAAAAGACAATAGTCTAATTATTTATTTCAAACTAGCTACCCGCTCCGGGTTTGCAGGAGTGCAATGTTGATACTATATAAATTTATCTACTATTTATCGGATGTTTATTATACATGTAAAACTTCCTCTACAGTTACTCTGTTTGTTAAAAAAAACCGCATCAAACTCCGTTGTGTAGTTTTAAAGATTGAAGCATACATAGGGATATAGGGACAGAGAATGAGGCTTTGTTTTATAATATTCCGTGGATTTATACCTACTGTGTAATTACAGACTACTAAAGGCACTTTTAAACGCCAAACAAAAATAGAGGCTCTCGGTTTGCCGTCTAGTGAAGCTATTTATTCGACCCAAAGTGTAGATTCCTATGGAGTTACCAGTTAGAAAATTTATGGTTACACTTTTTCAAAATAAAATAAAAACTACAGGTTACTTGCAAATAATAATTATTTTGTGAGTAATTATTGTCTGCTAGTGTTTTGTTCTAAGTGAGTATCAAGGGTAAAAATATTACTAATAATTTAATTTCTTATTAAACTCGGCCTGCTGAAGCTGAAGAAAGGATATAATGTTGCTTTTAGAGTAAATCCTGTCTCTTTGACTTTATCCTACTAAATATGGTCCAGGATTAATTTTAACATAATAGGAGTACATTTCAGTATTTATATTGGAATTTAAATTGAATCTGTAAAATATAATACACTAAGGGGCATACCACAGACTTGACCACATCTAAAAGTCATTAACAATCCATCTAGACATTCAAAAATAATCAATAATGCATGTGCACCAATATTTTAATAAACTGTCATAGTTCAAAATTTTAATTTAATAATACTGCTATTAGTTTTGTAAGTTTACTTGTGTTTATAATAATTATTTTTAAGTGAGTAGGTTATCTAGTCGTGTGTGGTGAGATATAAAATAAAATTTTGTACCGATATTTTATGTTTTATTTCCGTATATATTATTTCCTACTTAATAGTTCGACAAACGACAGACAAATTACCTGATGGTAAGCAATCAGTGCCGCCCATGCCCCCCCCCGAACACAAAAGGAGTTTCAAGTACGTTGCTAGAATTTTGAGATATAGGGTTTGGGACATTAAGGGATTGGGGAGGGATAGATTAAGAAGAAGGATTGGGCCTCTGGTAACGACATACAACGGTGTAGTTGTTTCACGTCGGTTTTCTGTGAGGCCGTGGTATCACTCCGGTCGAGCCGACCCATTCGTGCCGAAGCTCTCTGTGTAAGTGCTGTCCCACACTTACTAAAAAATCTAACTGAGAAATCGTTTACGTAATCATTAAACGTCTCTGAGTGCGGCAGTAAGAATCTATGCTTCTTTCATAACCATATAAGGAAACAAAATGGTCTTACCTGTCCTAATCAGATATTACTCAATTTTCTTCGTATTAAAGTATTAGTCATAGTGCACTATAATTATTAATTATCTTGTTCCGTCTACTGTTATCTTGGTTTTGGGCATTCCTTGCGTCGATGACTCTTTATCAAGACATCGCAATGTCATAACAAATTAACAAACATTGCGCTATTTTTCGTCATATTTTGTTTGTGTTGGAGTTGCTTTCTTTATGACTAATTAATAGGGCTGTCCCGTACCCTGTTGACTAAAAGGATCCAGTGCAAGAAAATCATGAAATAGTATTGGATTTTTATATAGCTAACTGTAGAGGCTCCATTCTCGATTTAATTAAAGGGATAGACAGCCCCTTCTCTACCCATAGATCAACCTTGACGGCAACATTTTCTTTAACAGGTTGATTAACTTCACATGCTGGTTAATATATAAAGTCGTGGAAGAAGAGTTTGGATGAGATGGCAAGTGCATCCGCCCTAAGTGGGGAGAGAGTGTCAGACTCTTGCTGACTAAAACCTCCCTGTTCCTTTTCCTGCTCAAGGCCGCAGCCGCGGTAACTTATTACGCTAGCACCGGTAACCCCGGTTGCTGGAATTAAAGGTAAAAATAGTGCTCATCGCAGACTGGTTCTAGCGAAGTTTCAACAATTTTCCAAAGGAATAGGAGAAGGAGGGTAATTTGATTATTTCCTGTATGATTCAGTAGATAATTCTAAATATTTTTTAGCATGAAGTATGAAATCTTGCCATATCCATTTGATGGAATTTTAGTCTTTTCTAAGAAAATTGGCAATTGTTTTCTGTTTTGGACAAACAGCAAGAAAGTAAGTTATAAAGGTCGACATGCATGGTCATGGGTAGACTTGTGGGCGTGGTGCGACCAATAAAGCATTGTTCCTGTAAGATTTATCCGCAGTAACATCCAGTTTTTTTAGCGTAAAATTTTTTTTATTGTCTTCTCTCGGCCTGGATGAGGCGCGTTGGAGTTTCATTCTTACTAAACCAAACCTATTCGTCTGAAACTGCCAACCAGCGGGCCTACTATGACGTGTCATACCCCTTTTATAGCTATAAAAGGTGTATAGCTCCATCCCTCTTTCTCGCCCCGAAGACTGCCGCGGTACCTACATCTTTGTGCATGCATTCTCAATTTAACTGGACATCGCCCCAGTTGGCTCCATCTACTGTTGCCTGATGGCTTTTGAAGCGAAACGTGACGCGCCGTAAGCTCTTACTTACTCTACTCTCTCTTACTCTAGGTACTGTTTAGTTGGTCTCGTTAGATGGCGAGCTCCCTGTGAAGTTCGCTGTATAAGAAGAGTTATCGAGGGTCCAATCCTTCCCCTCTCCCATCTTCAATCCTCAAACCCCTAACCCGGCCGGCGACGCACTTTCAACTCCTCCATTCTCCTCGGTTTAGGGTATTCATAGGTAGTGCCGATTGCTTACCATCAGTCTCTTCTGTTTCCTATCCTATCAAAAATGATCTTAATGATTACGTTTTCAAAAAATGTTTTTTTTTTTTAAGTTTGTCCTCAATTTATAACGCAATGACGATATTATATCCTCTTTGTTATAATGGATTAAAAGAGATTAAAATATAAGTACCTACAAATAACAAAAGACTGCGAAAGTAATATGAAAAAAAAAACCTGACATTTGGGAGTTTTTCTTTTTATTTTATTATCTTATCGATCTGGGAAAGCCCATATTGTGTGACGGGTGGGCCCAATTAAATTAGTGTTATGAACTTGAGTTCGTTTTATCATAATTTAATAATTATAGTCTGATAGGACGTCCTAGGTACCTATCGTAAGTTATTTTTGTAGCCATTTCATATCAAAATAAACAAATGATTATCTAAATGGCGTGGTACCTTTTGATTTATATATATTTGCATAGCGATTAAATACACTACAAAATATTATTAGGTATATTCTGAACATGCACTCGTCATTGTATTCGTTTGATAACAATAAAATAATGTCGAATGAATAGGACCAGACATGGTTTTATAATAACTAGATATCGTGAGACATACCTACCTACTAAATTAACTAAAAATCGGGGACTACTCACCAGGATCACGCAGGACCAGACATCTTATTTTTTATTTGTGCACGGTATTTATTGAGGATTAAAATCGTCAAATGGCTTGTTTCTCCCCGGGTAGGCACTCGATTGCATGAAACTCTTGAACTCATGAACTCTTTTAAAAGAATCAAGCTGAGTAAGTGTGGGAGAGCCAAGCTTCGGCACGAATGGTTCGGCTGGATCGGAGTGATACCACGGCCTCAAAGAAAACCGCCGTGAAACATCCACAGCGTTGTATTTCGCCGTGTGAGTGAAGTTACAGGAGGCCCAATGCCTCCCTCTCCACTATCCCTTCCCAATCCTTAATTATCCGCAACCCTTATACTCAAATGGCTGGCAATACACTCGTAACTCCTTTGTGTTGCCATGGGCGGCGCGGATTGCTTATCATCAGGTAATTCGTCAGCTCGTTTGTCAACTTATCCCATAAGAAAAGTTCCCATGTTACAAACTGACCCTAAACATAATACCTATCACTACAATTTACTACAAAGGTCAGTGGAATGACGAGAACTGAACAGTCCAGTGACCAATGACGTCACCACTTTCAAGGGTCTATTAACTGGATTACGTTTTTTTAAATTCTCGTTGTAGAATTCCAGGTGACTCATGCGCATACCGTGTCCGTTGTTGCTAAGCAGTTTTTTCCCACACCATTGTAACATGGGATCTTGTGTGATTCAGGTTTTTAAAATTATGATCGATTTTGAAATGGCTTTAGGAAGAATAGCTTTTTGCTTCCCATATCTAATATTGAATATGAGAAAGGATTTAGGGATAGAAGGCAGACTAGTTTTTTTAATTTAAAAAAACAGTAGATACTAATTGTGTACTTATTCTAATTTGAGGATAGATATTTATTATATTTACCTAGGTTTATTAAATCAATTTTATTAATTAATACATATATATTCCTATAATCCTCTATACAATATTTCTTTACACACATTTGAATAGTACCTACGCATACATATAGTTTACGTGTAGGTAAGTGTATGTCGCGCTTCGGTACAAATGGGCCAGCTCGACCGGAGTGATACCACGGCCTCACAGAAAACCGGCGTGAAATTAAGCTGACGTTCTTTTTCGCTATGTGAAGTTGCCGGACGGTCATCCTTTCTCCCCATTCATCCTAAAAGCCTAAATCAATTGCATTTCAAATTAAGCACTCCAATATACCGGAATTGCACTTTCGATGTTGCTAGTGTCTACAGGTGCCGATTGCTTACCATCAGGTCATCCATCTGCTCGTGCACCGACATAAAAGAAGCTGTTTCAAATTTTTACTTAACTAAAACGTATTAGACTCCTCAATTCCGATTTCCAAAATTCTTTCACTGATAGATAGCTATAATGTCCCTGAGTGCTTTAGGTTATAAAACATCACGCTATGATCAAATGGAGCCGAGCTACAGGTGAAACCGCGCAAGAATAGCTAGTTAAACATATTTCCACTTATAATTTCTGCACAGTCATGAATTTACGTCATACCTACCATTCGTACAATGGAGGTTAAGTACAAAACGTGCTAGAAATTACAATCTTCCGGTACTTTACACATTACCTGGACTAGATAAGAACTATATTCCTACAACAGCTGTTACATAAGTCCTTAAGGTTATAAGTGCACTTCAGATTTACAATTCGATTATAAGTTGAACATTAGTAGATGCTATTCTTAAATTCGTTGAGTGGTAGCACGATTTGTGATAACGAAGTAAGGGATTCACTGGCGTTTCGAGAAAATAGTTTACTGTTATAGAAAGGTAAAATTCTTTCACGTAATCTTTACTAATATTATAAATAGGTAAAATTTGTAAGTTTGTATGTAGGGGGTAACCTTTGGAACCGCTGATCGGATTACCAAAATTATTTCACTGATAGATAGCTACAATGTCGCTGAGTGCTATAGGCTATAAAACATCACGCTACGATTAAATGGAGCCAAGCAGAGAGAGTAACTGGTTAGCACTGAAATGATTAAAGAAGTTTGCAGGTTCATGATCATGATTATTTGGCGCGTTGCATTCCACGCGCACCTCATAGAGCCAGTAGACCACCACAGACGGGGCCCAATAGGGCTAATGTTCAGCCGGGATTGCGGGGTAAGCGCAATGAGGCAACGCGACCTCGGCCCCGAGCAGGAGAAGGAATGGGGGGGGGGGGTTTACTCAGTAAGAGTCTGACACTCTCTCGCCTTACCCTGGGCGGGAGAAGCCATTGGATGATTTTCTCCTGACAAAAAAGACGTGGCCATATAGGTCTGATGTTTAGCCAGGGTTGCGGGGCAAGCGCAAAACGGAATCGCGACCACGGCCTGGTGCATGAGAATGAACGAGGTTGTTTTTAGTCAGTAAAAGCCTGACACCCCGTGTCGCCTCGCCCGGGAGAAGTAATTTGATGATTATTTTGTCCTCAAAAACAAGGTTATCATGTAGAGGCACCAAGACCTTGGCGACCAAGGGAGGCTGGTGCTTCTGGTTTCTGGTTCTGGTGCTTCTGGATGATTTTTGCCCGCGTCCAGAGTTACCAGACTACCTTAGATTTGGCCTGTAAGGACCGGCGTTCAGTTGGAGTTGCGGGTGCGGGTTTAAAATATACTGCGGTCCCGGCCCAAACCAGGAGAAGCAACAATGGTTTCGAGTTAGTAAGAGTCTGACACTCTCTCTTTCCCACTATCCAGCGTGCGACAAGCTATTTTATCATTTTCCTTAAAAAGTGCCTGTCGTGTGGAAAACAATAAGGACTTTATTATCCTATGGATGTCAGGTTGCGTTTTGTCAGTCCCGTAAGAACGCTTAGAATCCTCTAAGTTAGGAGTTAGGTATTTCACGGAGCAGCAGATCTCAAAGGAGAGCAATTAGATTTCTGATCACCTCCTTACCAAAATTCTCAATACCTACCCTAAGACTGTAATTGTGTTCGTTGTATCGAAGTTCGTTCTCATTGCTTGCATATTGCATTATTATCACTGAAAAATTGAGTGTTCCATATAATTGGGTAGTTTACTAGGTAAAAAATAATTAATTCAACGTTTTAATACAATACCATTTTGAAAAATAAGTACACTTATATAATTAAAAAATAAATTTAAAAAAATAAGTTTAGTAAGCCTCTGGTAAATCTAAATTATGACGTCATAGGTATACTACCTATGACGTACAAATTTCATAGAAAAGTATATTTTTTGACATTTGGATAAAAGTATTGAATTTAACTAATTGCAAACTACGGTATTTTATCAAATAATATGTCAGGTAATTTTTGGGGGATTTAATGCATGTTATGTTTTTCAAGAACACACTTCAACCTTTCAGTTTAATAGGTGCCTATCTTTACGTGGTTATTTTGTAAAAAAGTCCCTATTGTAGGCATCGCTTTGTGATATCAATCAACTGATAAAGGAAGACTAAGTTTTGTTAACCTTGATAAATAAATGCAACGGTATGCAGTTGTACAGTCAAGTAACTAAGTGGCTTGAAGTGAGACGAAGTGGTAATTTTATTGAAAATTTTTCACTACTTAGTCCTACTTTTTTCCCATTTGTTGTTTTATCTGCTCCAGGCCGAAAGCATAGTACATTACTCTTAAGCCGCAACGCCAACTAGAAGTATTTGCTACCTTAATGTGGAATCAGAGACTCCTCAATATTTGGTGATATTGAAATTATGATAAGGTCTAATTAATACCTTCTGATTTATTTCGTTTCGTGATCACAAACTTGTTAATGTCTCTAAGACGACCGAATTGCAGTGTGTCAGTGTCTTCACGGTTGTATCTAAATCTTGGATTACAGGAGTTATGGAAAATAACGAAAGAGAAAGGTGCACCTTTAAAATGGAACGGCGAAGAATATTTTACTTTTTTTTAAATAGGTATTTTATGTCTGCAAACCAGCAGACGGATTACTTGATGGTAAGCAATCAGCACCGCCAATTGCTCGTAGTACCAAAGGTACCGGCCTCTTGTGGGTTATTGGAAACTAAAGGAAGGAAAAATGGGGCCTTCAGTGAAACCACTCATACGGCGAAACATAACGTAAGTGGTGCTTAACGCCGGTGTTCTATCACTCCAGTTGAGCCTGAAAATTGAGAATTATATTTAGATTAGATGACAATACCTACAATATTATGGTAGCATCGAGCTGGTTTGACGATGGAATTAGAAGGTCGAGAGCCTTAGGTCGGTGCAAGTACTAATGATCAGACCAAGGAATGGAACAGGATGGCTTTGAATCAGTATTATACAGAAACAATCCGTTCTTTTAACTAAAAAAACATCCAAAGACTTTTGCCCTAGTTGGAGAGAAATGGAGTGTCAAAATCTTACTGACTGAAGCGAAAAAAAGTTATTTGGCACCGGATTAGAAATTTGCCCATTCCAACCCCTGCAATGTGATTGTGTAAGACTTCATTCTATACTTCGAATCTGAATCCACTGTCAGTAGTAGTAGGCAAGCGCTATACTTGCGAATTGAACTAAATTGACCGCAACATTTTGATAGATAAAGTATGAGATGGCATTCTATAATGTAATTTCCCTGTCACTTCACACTCGAACAAGACTCAAAAAAAAAAAAATCACCCAAAGACTTCTCCTGCTCTAGTTGGAGAGAAAGGGAGTGTCAAAATCTTACTGAATGAAACGAAAAAAAAGTTATTTGGCACCAGATTAGAAATCTGCCCATTCCAACTCCTGGTCTAAGTCGGGGACGCGGTACATTATTGGACTTGCGTCTGTAACTCAGGCTAACATCAAAAGCTACAGGCAATGCTTTGATGAATAATGGCATCCAACAGATAATGGGTTGTTAGGTAAATATATTTTTTTATGTGATAGGGCGGCAAACGAGCTAATGGATTACCTGATGGTAAGCAAGCAGCGTCGTCCATGGACACCCGCAACGACGGAGGAGTTTCAAGTGCGTTGACGACCTTTTGGGGATTAGGGATTTGGAGATTTCGGGAAAGGGAACGGATTGGGGTAGGGGGTGGCTTGGGTCTCCGGTAACTTCACTCACACGGCGAAGCACAACTCTTTGGTTATTTCACGCCGGTTTTCTGTGAGGCCGTGGTATCACTCCGGTCGAGCCGACCCATTCGTGCCGAAGCTTGGCTCTCCCACACTTAGTACTGAACGACAAAAAGATTAACCTTATAGGATTCCCTTTCCGATTCCTGTAACCTATTACAATTGATTATATTAGCAGAATGTCGGTACTTATGCCAGCCTGGAGTTGTCTTACTCATTCAAAGGTCACGTTGACGGTGGCACGGGAACTGGATCGCTCAATTTCATGTTCGTGAACGGGCGTCGTCAATTGGAACTGGTCAGCTCCGGATTGTCTATCGTCGTCATTGTGGTTTTTTCATTTTAGGTTTCTCCAAATAAATATTAGTGTTACAGTGCTCTTACATGATCGAACCAACTTAATAATATATACCTAACCATGGATCGTTCTTCTCCATCGAAATCTACACTTTCGAACGATCAAATAGCTTCAGGACTGACCGGCAGACTGTCATTTTTTACGTTAATGCTTTGTTTGACGTTCAAAAGTGACTGTAAGGATCTTATTAAAATATTGACTTTTTAACTTTGACAACAGAATAGAGAGTTGTTATAACCTTCTCGATTCGATCTTAATTTTATGTCGTATTTACTCACATTTTTCACTGACAAATAAATCAAAATTTCAACAAATTCTTTCACCGACTGTACAAATAGGTAAAGTACATGTTTTTTTGGAATAATCTAGACGCCCATGTAAATTACCTATATTTAATACTCCAATCAATCAATTAGGGGAAACACCACGAACTAACAAACAATAATTCTTTATTTTTTTTAACCAACTCCTTGTCAATTTTTATGTCGCAAAATAAAAGATTAGATATTGATTTTACGTGTTTATTTTTTATAGGATAAGACGGAAACGAGCAGACGTAGGTATCTTCTGATGGATGCAATATTTTTTATGTAATTGGTCGGCAAACGAGCAGACGGATTACCTGATGGTAAGCAATCACACCGCCCATGGACCACCCGCAGCGGAGGAGTTACGAGTGCGTTGCCGACCGTTTCAGGATTAGGGTTTTGGAATTCAGGGATTGGGGAAGGGGAAGGATTGGGCCTCCGGTAACCTCACTCACACGGCAAAACACAAAACTGTGGTTGTTCCACGCCGGTTTTCTGTGAGGCCATGGTACCTATCACTCCAGTCGAGCCGCTATTCGTGCCGAAGTTTATTTTCAGTGAAATTTGGTACATATATTGTTTGGAACTCGAGAAAGGACTAGGATACTTTTTATACCAAAATTCTACAGGAAGTCACCATTCTATGCGAACAAATTCGCGGGCAAAAGCTACATAGTATAGTACTTAATCAAAATGTTATTGACATTGTTTTACAAAACATGGCGCGATGATAGAATGATTCTACAAACAAACAATAATAATCAGTTTAACCTTCTCAATGAGGTATTACGCGGAACGTCATTGGTTTTATAAAAAGTTCATGCCATAAGCGGACTAACGATTTCGAGTTGGGTCCTATTGTTTTGAATACAAAAATGGTCGACGCTAAACAATTAATTAGATGAAGTTTATAATAAAATATAAAAACAACCGCGTTCCTTATCCTATAGGTGGAGGCCGCCGTATATTATTGCGCTTGATCCTTAACTTCGGCAAGTTTTAGGAAGTCACCAGCTCATCATCATCTATACTAATATTATAAAGAGGTAAAATTTGTACGTTTGTATGTCGGGGGTAATCGTTGTAACCGCTGGTCGGATTGCCAAAATTCTTTCACTGATAGATAGCTACAATGTTCCTGTATGCTATAGGCTATAAAACATCACGCTACGATTAAATGAAGCGGAGAAGCGGGTAAAACCGCGCGAGAGTAGATAGTATATTATACTACGTACTGTGGATCTTCAAACAACTATAGACTTTATGGCAAAAATAAAGTTATTCTTAAAGATATCTATTAAATAGGTTTAACAAATGTTCAAAGTGAGTCATAATTTAGGTTTACAATTAAATTGTTAGTGTAATACTCAACATACTTAGTTTTCAATAACTTTCTTATAAACAATATAAGCCGGGCCGTCCCCTTTATCAGAAAATCGTAGGTAAAAATAATGAAAGGATTGGAAAAAAACACATTAAAAGTTAAAGGAAATTTATGTAGGTAGGTAAACAGCTTAGTAGACAAGAAAATGTAAGCGATGAATTTGATTAAGCGTTTGTATTATAAATAGAAGCATAAATGTTTCGTCAAGCGGCTTAAAGAGATCTTAGATCGCAGAGGATCTTAGTTTTAATATCCAGCCTTTCTTTGTGGCGACGGAAGGTGAAAAAATCAAGCAATCACATGACAAATCCTACATCGCAGGTAATGTTTGTGCGCAGATAGTCATGGATAAAAAATCTTAACGTACAACTGTTGGGCAGTAGCTCGTAGGCATGATCATCTCGCCTGATGGGAGGATCCTCCTTTTCCGATAATTAGGAGAATTTCTAGTAAAACCACGGAGTATTTTGTAACAACATCGTCCTGTAACATTATTGCCTATTTGACATTAAAAAAAGACGAAATGTGGTGTTACCAGTTACAGTTTTTCCCTTGCTTACCTTCTAAAGAAAGAGGTTTTATGACTTTTGTTATCCTCTTAGATGCTGATAAACTTGGGCCTTCAATGAGAGCGTTATAGAAGGTATTCTATCAAGTATTCTGGTAAGCATACTAGTGCAACAGTAAAGTGTTTTTAAACGTCGCCCCGAAAACACACCATTTCATAAACACATTATATTCAGACACGGAACAGCAATATGTGGATCACACAAAGAGTTGTTCCGTGGAGTTGAGACCATGACACCTTTCACAGCAGCCGGTTGCCCAGTTGAAGTTGAAGACAGAGCTGACATCTTTGAGAAACTAATTCATTCCGAACTTT